CCATTAAATTTGCCATCAACTAGTCGACTGCACTTTCTAAAGACATTTCGTATTTATGCAGTAGCCAGAATTTATCTGGATATTTGATTTCTATTTATGTAGACTAGTGGAATATTGTATTTCCGTACTGTTTTGTTTTATTGGACGGAACATATAGATATTTCCAGACAAATGAACCTTCAATCGCATTTCAGGCATATTTTGTTGGTGATGAAACAACAGACAGTTGTTTAGAGTTCCGGTGGGAAGATAACTAGTTACTAGGATGCGTGTACATACAATCGAAACGTTTGTTCTAGATTGTATTGATAGTGAGTACTGACCTAGTGTTCATCAGAATGCCAATACATGTATTACAGGTAATATGGTGATAGCAGAGACTTTAATCCTCCATAAATTATTACACTTAAAAAAAAAATAACTCACCTTATAAGGTAAACGCCGTAATATTGCTTGATCTAAGTCTCCAGGTCTATTTGTTGCGCCTACAATTATAATTTGACTGGTATCCTGTGTTAACAATCCATCCCATAAAGCCATGAACTGAGTCTTTATCATACGTGTTGCTTCATTATCGAGTTGAGAACGTGTAGTTAAAAATGAGTCTATGCAAAAAGGAAGTATTATCAAAAGAGATTATAGTGTATACACAAATATCCTGATCGGAAGAGGGAAGATTAAATAGTACTGCAATCAGTGTGCATGTTCTGCAAACATGTTAGCCATTGTAACCCCCTCCCCCCCCCCCTCAGGAGTGATATTCTGCTAAATGGATGTATCTTATAAAAAAGAAATTAGTATGACTGCAGAAACTGAGGGTGTGTTTTTGCCAATTGCTGTTCACAATTTTACTTGATCTCAATGAAGGGAAAAAAAGAATGAACAACAATGACAGTAATTAATTCTAGATATTATAACTATCTAAATTATTGCAAAGGCGTATATAGGAAATGTATATACTCTGAATGATCAAGCGACATGAACTAGAAAGTACTAATAACTTGATCAACAATATTTTTTAGTGAGAGAGAAGTTGCGTAACAGGATTCGATTTCCATTGATTGTAGAAACAAGGGTTGTGGAACATGAACACTAATGTATACAGATAGACAACTGGAGCAAATGAGGTATGCTATTAAAAAATAGTGACAAGTCCATAGAACACTAATATGACTGCACACATAGTCAAGTCATATTCGATATAGTGGACAAAATAGGCAAAGAAAAGTGAGGTACTAAACTATAGTAACAATTGATTAAAGTAGCCTGTTTCAATGAAGTTGATATTGTTGAGACGAAGCACTTTAAGCCTTGTGTTCTGAAACCAAAAACGTTCCATAGTAACACAATAATATACTGGGAATCACCAGACAGAATTTAACTGCTTTCTGAAAACAGTACAGCCAAAGAATTAATTTAAGCATTTGGTTTACTCAATATTTAGACGGAAGGAAAGATATAAAAGCAAATGAGAACAAATTTAAAATTATTTACTATACACTATAAATAAGTCAGCTATGAGAAAAGTTGATGTTTACATCAGTTGTGCATTGAGAACAAACATTATGCAGTATACTGTTGCATATTTTATTCACTAAACTCACTGTAACAAAAACGTTCAGAGTGAGTAGTGTGAATTCTTAGGAAAAGAGAATGCAACCGTATCTTTTACTGTAACTGCACGATATCATCTAAATATATAAATGAACAAAAGGCGTCACAAATTTCACTTACCTAATTCATCAATAAATATTATAGTTGGCTGTATTTTCTCAGCTAAACTAAATGTAGCCTCCACATACTTCTGTGTCTCACCATACCACATATTAACAAGCGTAGCTATCTAAAAGTTTTTAAAAAAAGAAAAGAAAATCGTAACGGAAAAAACTACGCAATCACGTAAATTGGAAATAACCACTAATATAAGGGTGTATGAGATGTGAACAACTTGACCTGCTCGAAAACTAACTAAGCATCATGGCGGAAACTACTATGATTCTTTATCAACTGACGTGCAAGACTTTACTTTTACAGGTGTTCTGCATATTGGCTATGCTAAAAACGTGAGTCCTAAACGGTGTGCTCTGAGGGTTGACATATATATATATATGTATATATATACATGTGGATTCCAACAAGGTACAAGAGCCTTCTGTACTGACTAAGACGCAATCTGTAAAACTATACAACAAGATAAAAAGCATGTCTTAATACATTTGGCTCACAGTTATTACCTAATGTCCCAAAATAATGTCCTTGATAAAGGACAAAACAAATACACAATTTCAAACTTTAAATATACATTTTGCGTGCATCGCTGGTTCAGTAGGAGAATGCTCGGCAACGAGGTACGCAGTCTGGGGTTCGATTCTCGCCCGATGCACCACTAGATCCCGTTTAGCTAGTTGTGATGCCAGTAGAGAGGAGAGGTTAGACAGGAAGCTAGTAGCCCACACCGCAAAAACACCCACTACTTACGGAACTTTGAAGCTCAGGCTCCACTAGGAACGCAAAGGAATGAAAGAAACATTATACATCTTGAACATTCTCCATTGTAGTAAACACAATTAAAAAATTTAGCCAATTAAAGTTCATACAAATGAATATACATATAAGAAATGCACAGATACCATCAGTGCGTTTATTAATGAGTACTTTTATAAGACACTGAAATATTAGAATAGGTTAAAAAAAAATCCACTAACATTATACACAATGAAGACAGAAACAATAAAATACAGTAGATAGGATAAAATGCGGTTGAATTAAAAAATAGATGGAATAGTAAACAGTTGATATTGATAATGATTCAAATGTATGCAGATTGTACAGACAATAGAGATATGATAGAAAGTGATTAACCAACGTGTTTGCAAAATTTATATTTAACAAAATTGCAGGTTTCACGGGATAAATGAGTACAACAAACAAAACAGGATAAGTTTGATCTGACCTCAATTAGTGACAAACAGTAATATTAGTGTGATACAAACAAGATATTTTATGAAAGGGAGTAAGAAGGGGAGAGAAAGATAGCAGTTAAAGTGTAAACGGTTATAAAAAGACATAAGGACTTGAAATAATTAAGTTTGTGTTGACCTTGTGGCAGGTCAAGACAGATAGAGGTTGAATGTACTTTTTTGGATAATAAGTTAGGTTAATTCTTATTGATTGTTATAGATAAGGGATGTAACTGCGTACATTTAGGCAAATTATTCGGCACTTAATATATGTAACCACAATCACCTCTTCTCTTTTGATGTGATGTTCACTTCCTATCAAAGGATATAGGATAGCACTGCTTATTGATCTAGTTATTCATTTTTCTAGTCAAACTGGTATACGTTTATGTGTAAGAGTCAGGATTAATTCTTCTAAATATGGCCTAACTGAATCCGGCAGGACAGTTCTACTTGTATATATACAATGATATGTGGGCAACATTTTAATCACTCCGTGTCAGTATAGGTTTGCTTGAGAAAGTGATATGTGATTTTGCGGTGGCTCATACAGAAAGCAGTCATCAGATATGAGATTTTCACTTGTCGACATATTATTGTGTTGAGAGCTGGCTGCTAGCCGAATCGGTAGACAGTAGCTCAAGTCAATGATTACCACCCGAAGATTGGTCGTGAGAAAAATAAGAACAAAGACTGATTCAACAACCAGTCAGAGAAGACTTTGCGTAGGCGGATACAATTGGCGTATAGATGATCTGACATTCAATGAACGGCCACAAAGAGATGAAAGATTAACGTTCAACGAGAAACCACCAATTAGAAGACTGTGTTTGTTTGCTTACAATAATCTATTGTAATGTACATGAAAATCTATAAATACGTGTTGATTTCCTTAATAAACGATCCGTTGCCTGGCCCTTGCCTTCTGTTGTTACATTATCAATCAACTAAACATTTATAGAGTTTTAAACTGTCTAAATCATGGTGATTGTTCTTATTTACTTATCATAAAACAATTAACTTTAGAAAAAGGGACAATTCAGGAAACTGTTCAATACTGAGCACTAGACAAATATTATGGCTACATTGCTCAGATTAGATGATTCGTCAGTAATTGATAATATACATCTACTTTATCATCAAGTATGACATCTGGTCAGCATAATAAAGAATTCGAATATAGAATAGAAACTTTGATAACTCATAGTTTATTGTAACATATGTTAATATGATAACTGGTCAAGAAAACAACAAGAACAACAAAAAGAGCCATTAATATTAGAATAGAATTTAGTCATTATGTATGGTAGAGTAAAAGAAAGGATAACACAGTTGGTAATATCATATTTCTAATTTTGTTAATAATTTAATACGGATAGACGAAATACTTTTGCATTAAAGATTGTAACTTTACATTAGTTATTCACGCCTATCAAAATAGCTCATATGATTGCCATGAACTGTTATTATGATGGACAATGGTCAGTGAAGTTTTCTTTACATTTCAATTGAAATTAACACAGAGAGGAATCTTTATCTATATATAGAATATTATCACTATCCAAAAAGTAAAATTGGTGTTTTTCATTACAATTGTTTCGATTCGTACACACATTGACTAAGTCAACTGTTAGACTGCGAACTCAGAACTCGCCTTAGCTAATTCGGTTCAGGTAACCTAACAAGTTCAAATTAGATCTCACAGACAACATACATCTCACAAATGGCAAAAGGTTAAAGGGTTAAGAGTGGATTTAATATACTACTTTGCCTTTAATAGTAAACTAGTAGAGGAAAACAAAGAACAAACAAACAAAGTTCATATTATCAGTCATTTCACTAATCGATAAAAGAGGGTTAAAAAAAGAAACAAATAAAAAAATAGCAAAGGTATAGAGTAGTTGGATTAAAAAGAGAGAAAAATTATGCTCGGAAGCAATTAATGAATTAGATTTTGATAAATTACAGCCAAATGAAGAAGAGATACATTCGAATTATAAAGCAATAACAAAATCGGTTATCGTTATAAGGAAAAGAAAATACAAAAAGAGTAGTGGATAGATGTTTCGTCCAATTTTGCAACTTTTCAGCGATGTACACGTATGATTGAGACTGAGCCCGGAACCATAAGGCTTAATGGTGAGCGCCACAAGGTTAGAAGTTCAATATTATAGGATCGTTATTCAGTGACAATTATGACTAACTATCTACGCATCGAAAAGCTAGGTGAAAAGAAGATGCTAAATAGTAACAAAATGGGACTAAAGAGTTATTCATATCTTTTTCATTTCAGCAGTTCTTAGTGTGACATTAATCATGAGCTAAACTTCTTCGAAGTGAATCATTTGGCTAAAGGCTTCTTGACCCAATGGAAAGACTTATCATATTGTCATGTTAGACATCTTCATGAATAGTATGACACTTTCGCCTCCTGCTTCAGTCAACAATCTATTACAAAGACAGTAATGTTAAATTAGGCTAAGGCTAGGCTGGATTCTGGAAAGGCAAGTAATATCCTGATCAAACTGCAACTCTAAGCATTGTCATTACGGAACAGAGCATAGAGTGGCAGTCAAATCTCTCTCTCTACATCAACTTCATCGACTTTGAAAACGCCTTTGACAGACAGCGTTGAGCGAGAAGTAACATGGAAACTGCTTCAATACTATGGCGTGCAGTGCCCAAGTCTCTATCAACCTAATTCAACAGGTGGTCATATGATAATGCCACCCCTCAGATGATCCACAAAGGAAAACTCAGCGAGGCGTTCGAAGTGAACACATACAAACTAGAAGAATTGTAGGCGAAAACCAACAAACTGGCAGAAAAACTAGAAAGCGAAGACAGGATTCCAGGTGAACATAGAGAAGTCGAAGGAGATGAAGCTAACCAACCAACAGTAACATCAACAACACCCGGCACCAATCACTGTCAACGGGAGAGATTTGACAGAGGTTACTTCTTGCCTTCACTTATCTGGCTAGGAAGCATCGTTTCAACTACAGGCACACGACGAGGATGTAGATGTCGAAGGCAGCCAGCCAGCCAGAATCGGAACGGCAACATATGCCTTCATCAACCTGAAACCAGTTTGGAAATCTTCTGCTTCACTCAACCAGTATAATGAACAAGATTCGGATTCTCAACGCAAATGTCAGTTACCTCTTCTAAACGGGTCAGAAATTCGGCTGACGTGTCACGAAAAGGATTTTCAAAAAGTTACAAGCTTTTATCAACATCTGCCTTCGCGGGCTCCATACTGAAGATCAATTGGCCAGCCGGCCAGAAAGAATTAGCCACAAGAAACAACTCTGGCTGGCAACAAACCAACCAAGGGCCGATTGTTCATCAAATATGTAGGAGAAAATAGAGATGGATCGGGCGTACGTTGAGGAGGCTGTTGAATGACTCTGCTCGAGTGGAACCGCAATGGGAAGCAACGGGTGGGTCGAAATGGGTGACATGAGAGATTATGGCCAATCGTGTACCCAGCTGAAGAGGACGGCAGGAGGTAGAACAAAGTGGTGATGTTGAAGCCCTATGTTTCACTCGGAATAATGAATAGGCAGTTTCTTTTACTAAAACTATGTACAGTTCTAATTTCACAAGATTAACAAATAAACGAAACTATAAACAGTTGAAACAGGTATAAAAGTGCACACCTGTTACATTTTTATACATAAGGATTCAGTGACAGACAAAAACACAAAGACTAAGCTATTTGTGCTCTAATTCTTCAAATGTCAAATACATCATGACATGTGTCAAAAAGGCAATACAACATATTATATGTGTTAAGGTTCTTTGATGAATACGAAAAATAAAATATAAATATGTAATATCATACAATATGTTTGTCTTAGAATCATTTGTTTTATTATAAATTGTCATATGATTTAAAAACATAGATATTTTTCGCAACATTTTAAGTGACATTAAACATTTCATTTATTTATCTATTTATCTAGTTTACTTACAAGAAAAAATGAAGTTCACCAGAAATGCATTCAAGTGTTACGGAAAATCGTAGTTATAATTGTCAGTTAAAATGAAAATAGGTCAGTTGAAACATTGACAGAAAACAAAAATGTTAAAACGCTTTATTTAAAAAAATGAAATGTTTGGTTTTTAGTTTGTAGCAAAAACTATGGAGCACTGAACAGTGTTTTCATTTTGGTGTGAAACTTCAGGTAGGGTAAGTTAACACAGTAGGCATGAAACTTTTGGTATATACAGTGAGCGCTTCGAAACACTGAAGTGGGCCTACATTTATCACCTCAACGTTAGATATGGTTGAAAAGTTACCATAATGGCAATTCGAGATGAGATTTCTATACTTTCAACAAAGGGTAAAGTGATATATATATATATATATCATGGTACCGCCTTTGGAATCATCGATACCTTACGAAACTACGAAACGCTGAGCAACGTTACAGTCAGAATGTGTTCCATTGAACTCATGACGCTGCTGAGCTTGATCGTGATTGATTACATAGGACTTTCATCATCTAGTGGACCTACTGTGTGGGTAACTATAAGGTGTATTCGTGCATCCATTAGACTAAGCGGGCATGTTGATAATTTATTTAAAAAGAGATGGCATTATGAGTGAACTAGTATTTGGATGCATTTATTCCAGTGTATTTGAATAACCTAGTAACATGTCGTTTACCTTCAGTGGACTTAGTGACTTGGAGATACATAGTGTGCTTTCATAGTGTATGAGTGTACCAATTGTTGGTGATCAGATTCGGGTCACAATGTTAACCAGTAGTGGAACTGTAGTTTCTATCTTATATATCATCCTCCAAACGCAGTTATATGATGCGATGGACTTCCGGATTGTTTTTAGCGTTATTCCCTTCTATGACATTTCTTTGTAATGCTGTTACATTATTTTCTGCGGTGCAATTTTCGGTGCATACCCTGTTCATAATTTTTTCTGTTTGTTTTTGTATTTGATAAAAATAAGAATGTTTGTATCGAGACTTACCTGTAGATTAATAAAATTAGCCTGTGCAGCACGTGCCATTGCACGAGCAAGTAATGTTTTCCCACAACCCGGTGGTCCATAAAGTAAAATACCCTTTGGCGGTCTTAATAGTTTCGAATCAATTTGTAGAGATCGTCCAGCGTGTAACGGTCGCAGTACACATTCTTCAATTTCACGGATAACAGAATCTAGACCACCTATGCAATCCCAGGTTGTATGCAGCACATTCGGATCAACTAGATTCACGGCGATACACACTTCGTAATCATTTAAACTAGGCATTTTACTGAATCCAATACTTTTGAAAATTGCTTCAGCCTGTATATAAAGAAGATTGGAGAAAAAGAAACAGTGCAGGGAAGATTATGACCTTGTCCCGTATACAGGTCAATGTAGAGAAAATAATAATAGTAATAATTCAATAAGTTCACTCGACAATTTGTTAACTGCTACACACACACACACACACACTTCGAAACATCCAAATTAATAATGTTAGAGGAAACAAAGTGTTCAATTTATTAGTAATTTAAACAAACAAGACTAGAATTCATCTTCACTTAGTCCTCGTGTTTAAACTGATTAAACTATGTAGAAATGTAAGTTTGTTTTTCAGTCTTATAAATTGAAATACTTTCTTTCATTACGTGTATTAATGATTACTTGAAGAGATTAAGACACTTTACTTAAAATTAAATATAGACTGAGCATATCAATGTCACTACAGTATACACTCGATCGGTAGGTTTATAGACATCATTCAGTACTACACAATAGCGTTAATTTTTCACTGATAATTCATTCCAATTAATAATTCACTCTTCCGAAAGCAGTAGTTTGTGATTATAGCAGCTTAGTAAGAAAAATTCCTGCATTAAGCGATAATTAGTGCAAGCTAAAAGCATACATAGAGAATTACTTCCCTTACATTTGCCGATAGGCATAATCAAAGCAGATGAGCACGAGGTCTGGATTAGACATATATTCTTACGACTGATTCCTATCAACAAACACATGATTTCATCTTTTAAAAAGAAGTCTGGAGGCAGTATTCACCGTTAATGTGAGGGAAGACCTAATTACTCATGTGCTGTGATTACTTCCGTGTTAGCAACCTTCACATCACAAAATTGACGGGTAGGATAGCCAGGAGTAATGACTGAATTGACCTCCAACTTTTAAGTTAATCATCACCCATTTGGAGTCTGAATAACACACGAACAGACTGATGTGAATACTTTCACGAAATTAGACAGCTATAAGTAACGTTGCACGAGAAAAGGAAGACGATAATGATGGACAACCGGCAGAGGTGCTTGAGAATGATATCTCAGAAATATTAATTAAATTGAGTGAAGAATTGGAAAAATGCATGAATCACTCTGCCGAGCCTCAGATAATGACTATTCAACTCATTAGGAAGGGAGGAAAGCTTTCACGTTCGACTGGCAAAGATAAAAGAGAGAGAAACATTGCTAATCTAAGAAATGCATTATTATTGGTTGGGAAAAATTTAGAAGAATATCGGTTTCTTGGCTGACTTCTAAGAGGACATCTACCTTAGGGATTGTAGATCTTACCCTTGGGTAACCACAGGATATACAACTTTTGAAAACGACCATTTTTTAACCTTCCATCTCCACAACAAGAACTTGGCATAGCTAACCTGATGATTGTTTACAAGAAACATTCCTATCTTGTCAATAATACTCTTTCATTTAATGACAATAAACTCTGATCTTTAGAGATTATTTCCTTGACTTGAAGAATATCATGACAACAGATATTACAGCTTTAATAGGCTTGTCTACATTGTTTTACACTTCCAATGGGAAAAAGTACTTTAGAGTGTAGTAAAATAAACCACCGCACTCATATGATAGGATATTTGTTATTATTATTATTATTGACGATGTATAATAAAACTACACAGGACCTGAAAACGCCACCTTAGCCTTTAATTTAAACGGCTATAACAAAACGAAAAACGCAAGAGTAAGACTATCACATTTAAGACAACCTCAGTGTACTGGGAGAGTGTAACAGGATTCAAAGGACGTTTTATGGCTTTCCCTAGTATTCCTAAACATTGATAAAGACAATCACCAGTTGAGAACAGTTCTTCTCAATTATAAATACTAATGACAGTGTAAAGATGGTACTGGTTGAAGTTAGATGCCAATGTTAGATGTAAAGCTCTGACTATCAATCAACCAACACTGTGATTATCTTTTTTGTAAATAAATTATAAATCATATGAATCATACAATTTTTGGGTGGAACAATATTACCGTGCTGGTATGTGAATGCAGAAATAAGCAATAAAACCGACATATTCCCACTAGGATATATATAGTATACCCACATAGTTTCTTTGTTTACGCCTTAATATAAATACAAGCAAAAAGGGAATAAGTACACTCCCATTATGCTTGTTGTGATCATTTAAAAAAAGGGTTATGACTGTAGCTGAAAGAAAATGCCAAGCTGCAACAGGAATCGAACAAACAACCAAGCTAGGAATACCAGACTGACACTCTACCCACTGATTTATGACGCACAAAAAAGCGTTACTTTGTTTCACTCTGATAACTTCAAAACCAACACTACTAGTACTTAATAAAGTGTCATAAAATCATTCTTCTGAACAATGAAAAGCACAGTCAATTACCATGAAAGACAAAGGCTGACCATTAACACCAATCCAAAGTGTTGAGTAAAATCTATCAACCACATGTACACTGTAATCACTAACCTCAGAAGTACGAAATTAATACGCCCTAATGTCGCTTTTGTGTTAGATGGTAGGGTTCAAACAGGATGTTTTAGGCATTGGTTCTGATGTTAATTTCTGAAGCTTTCATTGTCCTACTAGGCAACATCTTCAGCGCATACTTTGATTTGAAGTGAGCTTTTAGATTTCTCCACGAGTTTATTAGTCATTTCTCCTAGTGACCTTGAATATGATTGGTTGTTTTGTGTGTATTGGTTTCGTACATGTTACAGTTGCTCAGCAAAACTAAACCTGTCATGTTAATGGAACTTATATATGTCCCAACCAAGTTCACTTTTAACAGTTTCAAAAAAAATTTGGGCATCGGGTATATGATATTCATATGGTTCAAATACGTTGATGATAGTTTTGTTGTGCTAAAACGAGATTTACACAGTTCATTTTTGCAGAAACTGAACAATCTATCTCCCAGCATCCAGTTTACTTCGGAAGCAGAATCAGACGTCGGTGAACTACCATTTCTAGACTGCCTAGTTAAGAGAAATGAAAACAGACATTTTGGTATATCTATGTTCAAGAAGAAAACCCACTCCAACAAATATTTAGACTTCAGATCATCACACCCCATCAATGCAAAGGTATCAGTTGTTTCAAGTTTTCTTAGACAAGAACACTCTTCGCTAACGGATGAGAAAGAAACAGATGAAGAAATATCAAACATTTCTGAGACTCTCAAGTAAAATAACTCCCCGAAGAACTTCATCAACAAAATCAATACCGACATGAAATATGGTCGAAAATGTATTCCAAAGGCATGAGCCTCAACAGTTGTCATTCCATATAGATCGGAAACGTGAGATGATAGATATCAGAAGAGTACTCAATAGGCACAACGTCAGAGTTTTCTTCAAAACATCAAACACACTACAAAGCAACCTTGTTCATGTAAAAGACCAAATCCCAAGGATTCTCAATCAAATTGTGTTTATAAATCTACATTGGACATTGACTATTCTTCAATAAGATAATAGCCCATACAGAAAAGATGTGATATTGGAATGCTTTATGCAGACTTCGATTTACATAGAGAACAAGATATTTTGATTGGACACTAGTAACTAGTGTGACGTGTTTAGTTCTTTCTTTGGTGCAGACTGAATTCTATCAGTCAGGTATTTGCAATGTGGCCACCATTCTAGGTAGCTCGCCATCACGGTGCACATTGATTTGATGAATAGCTCAGTGGTAACGTCTCTGACTGCAGCACTGGGTGACGCAGGTTCGAATCTCAGAAGGGATATGAATTCCTTCAAGGTTGCAGGTACGCCTTCCTGACTTGTGATTGCCAACTAGCACGAAACCTAGGTCCAAGGCTTCCTCCCGATTGCCTCCAATTATCAAATATCATCAGAACAAGATATTAGCAATAAGCATCCTACACAATAGCTTGTGGATAGTTGCATAACAAATTCAAACATCAACTTATCTTGTTTAATTTATTAGTCAGGGCAATAGTACTGACAGTCAGTACATAACACTGAACACAACTATCATACATATTTTATTTTTGAACTGCTTAAAACGTAGTAGTAGAGCAATGCATGTCATTGACTCGCAGATATCCGTAGTTTTAGCAAATGACATAGAAGCATTATACAGTTGAATTACACTCAATCAGTTAGTTATTATTCAGCCGTATTCTTGCCACATTAACGATATAAACATGCGTAGAAAACCTAAGATAAATAGAATTTGATGGAGGATTTAATCATTAGCTGACATCGGTTAGAGAACCACTGAAAAACCTTGGAGTACTGAACAGCTGTTTCGTCCTAGTTTAGGACTCTTCATCAGTACTCACCCACCGGAGTTCGAACCCAGGACCTTCTGGTTACAAGGCGAGGTTGTAGACCATTGAGCCACTGGGACCCGATCTAATGGCCCATGAAGGTCTTGGGTTCGAACCCCGGTGGATGAGTACTGCCGAAGAGTCCTAAACTAAGACGAAACCGCTGGCTGTCCAGTACTCCCAGGTTTTCCAGTAGTTCTCTAACTGATGTCAGCTCATGATGAAATCCTCCATCCGATCAAACAAAATCCCTACAAAACTAATACTTGAAAAAAAAATAGAATTATTAATATGCCAACAGATTCACATGAAAATAATATGTATAGAAGATAAATAATTACGAGGATTAAAATCTTACACGTTTTCGACATTCTCGTTTTTCTTTCAATGTTGGGTTAATTTGTTCAATTAGATAAAACATTAATCGTAAACTTATCCCGATGCCAACAACAGACACTATGAGTTGGAAGACTTTCTAAATTAGGAAAACAAAAAGACAGAGAAAGTTGAGAACACAACTTGATTATGTGCGTAAAAATAGTCAGTAATTTCATCAGGTGCTTTGTTCACTCAAAATAACTAAGGTTGACACATATAGCAACTTGGTACACTATAAATAAACACATTTTTATTAATATAAACGCAGAGAGTGGTGAGAATCGGAAGAAACTGTGCATATTGTGAATTTTTATCTTGATGATGACATACTGCTGTCCAGAATAAGGCAGATAATTA